AGACTTTCAGCTCAGACGTTTAAACACACATCCATCCAGCTTCTGCCTACAGGACAAGCTCTCTCCCCAGCTCACTGTGCCTGACTCCACCCTGCAGGTGGATCACAGACTTCCTTTCGACAGAAACAAACAAGTGAAGCTGGGGAAAAATGTCTCTGCCTCACCAGACATCAGCAACCGGATACCTCCAGGGCTGCGTTCTTTCTCCCTCTGGCTCTTTCTCCTGTACAGCCAACAAGCTGCACTCCAGTCACCAAGTGCCCGTTAGGATCCTGAAGTTTTGCGGATGAACACTCTCATTGGACTCAAATTCCTGGTTGAGATGAGTCCCGCCTACATCATGGGAAAGATTGCATCTGGTGACCTGGTGCAGCCCCAGAACAAACCTGGAGGCTAAACGAGCTCTGAAAAAGTGGAAGATGGTTGTTTGACTGAGCTGTCTGACGCCTCTCCACCCTCCCAGGTCCACAACTCTTAAACACTCCCCCCTCTGCGCAGGAGGCTGGCGGTCCATCAGGACCGAAACCTCTTCGCAACCAAACAGTTTGTTTCCGTCGCTGCAGCTGGCCTCATTAACAGGCCATCAGTCATGTTTTCCCAAATGAAAAACTCATAGCTTTTATTTACAACGATGAGTTGCAAATGAATAGAAAAATATAGTCAAGACATTGACGAGGTTGGAAAATATATATTTTTATGTTGAAAATAATAATTTTGTCCTTCAAAACTTTGCTTTGCGTCAAGAATTCTCCATTTTGCAGCAATTACAGCCTTTCAGACCCCTTTGGCATTCTAGCTGTCATTTGTTGAGGTAATCTGAAAGAAATTCCTACCCAACGCGTTCCTGAAGCACCGTCCCCACCAAGTGTGGATTGGCTTAAAATGGGCCCACTTCTTACGTATCATACGGTCCAAAGCTGGCTCCGAAAAACAGCTCAAATAGGGTTGAGATCTGGTGACTGGCGCTGGCCACTACGGGCCAATTGACAGACAGAATACCAAGCTTGACTGCTTCTCCCTAAATAGGTTCTTGCATGTTTGGAGGTGTGCTTTGGGTCACTTGTCCCTGCTGTTGGTAGGAGGAAATGTGGCTCAAAATCAAGCCTGCCAGCAGGGTATGGCATGGCGTTGGCAAAATGGAGTGATAGCCTTCCTTATTCAAAATCCACTTTTTAGCCTTGTACAAATCTTCCCATTTTACGCAGCCACCCAAAAGCGAGCCCCAGGACCATCACATTTACCTCCACATGCTTGGACAGAATGGCCCGGTCAGGGCAGCTCCTCCAGGGCATCCTGGTTCACTTGTTTCTGCATCTCAAACAAATGTTTTTCTGTGTGATCGCAAACACATCAAAACTTAGATTTGCTATCCATTACACTTTTTTCCATGCTCTCTGTCCAATGTCTCTGTTCTTTTGCCCATGTTAACCTTTTCCTTTTTATTGGCCAGCTCAGATATGGGCCTTTTCTTTGCCACTCTGGCCTAAGAAGGCAGCATGCCGCAGAGTCGCCTCTTTTCACTGTGGAGCGTTGAGACTGGCCGGTTTTGCGGGTAGCCATTTAATGAAGCTGCCGGGTTGAGTGGCTGTGAGGCGTCTATTTCTCAAAAACCTAGAGACTCCTAAAGTATCATGTGTCGCTCACTTGCTTAGTTGTGCACCGGCCCTACCACTTCTCTTTCTATTCTTGGTTATAGTTAGGCTGCTATAGGCCTAGATTGTAGGGGGACTTTCCATGATGCACTGAGTTCCTCTCTTCCTCTCCCTCTCTTTCTGCACTCATCTTATTATTATTATTATTTTTATTATTCAGAATCAGAAATACTTTATTGATTAGTCATATTATTATTATTTATCATTCCCCATCGTTGTGGCTATTGCCGTCATTGTTATCACCATCGTCATCATCATCATCATCATTATTAGTCATTTATACTTGTATGGTTGTTGCTATTGTTGTTGCTGTGCACCTTTGTCTCTGTCTCTGTCCTTCTCTTTTTACTTATTAATTTCTGTATTATTTATTGGGGCACAGTGGGGTCAGTGGTAGCCTCCTGTTGCCACACAGCAAGAAGGTCGTGGGTTCACTTCCCAGCTGGGGCAGGGCCTTTCTGTGTTGAGTTTGCATTGTTCTCCACGTGTTTGCAAGGGTTTGCGCTGCTCCTAGTACTTAGGATGGGTCAGTTTCCCTACAGCAATCAATAAAGGATATCTTACTGAATGAATTAATGTATTCATTTAACATCATTGTTTAAGAAATCCTGACTGAAGTCCTGACCATTTGGTGTGATACTATAGATAAAACAACACATTGGACCACATTTTGTTTGAAATGGTTGAGGATAGCCTGTAGTTGCATGTTAGCGCCTCTAGATGTTGCTTTTGTAAAGCTTTTTTACCCCCCCCCTCTGTAGAAATGTGTCCACAGAGCTCAGTGTCAAAGACCGACCTTTCCTTTGCAGCTGATCTGAGGCCTCTGGAGGAAGCAACCAAACAAAATAAACCAGGGGCTAAACCAGATATGATGTTGGCTTTGTGACGTATGATTGATTTGATTTTGATTTTGAGATGACAAATTATACATTATTATACGGCTGGGTCTTAAGATAGGGAAATATTCTGTCTTCTCTCCCATGTTTGGCACAAAGAGTTCACTACAGGAAAGATTCCCTTCTTGAAGCACGACTCAGGTTTTTCATTATTATATTAGTATAATATTTTATAATAATAATAAGGAATATTATTCCTAATGTTCAGTGGCTAGTGAATTGAACTTGAATGCAACGCTGGTCTCGCAGCAGAATGGATGCCTGCATATCGGATTCTCCCATCAGCACTTGAACGCACCCACTAAAGGGGCTTTAAAGTGGCCAAAATTGCCAGCGCTGTCATCATTATAATAATTCTATTAATATTAGTGCTCAGCAGCGCAAACACATTCAAAACGAAGCTAAACGAGCTCACGATGTCTGGCTTCGAGCATCACATGCCCGCAGCACTGAGACGGGAGGAAGAGGAGGAAGGAGGAAGAGGCGGGAGGAGGGGTTCAGGGGAGCCAGATGATGCTGTCAGTGAAAGGAGGAGGAGGAGCAGGAGGAGGATCCTGTCCGCCGGCAGCAGCAGCAGCTCCACTCTACTCTCCATCCATGTGTTTGGAAGAGAGAGAGAGAGAGAGAGAGAGAGAAAAGGAATGGGCTCGGATCCAAACATGTGCTGCTAGAATAGACCTCTGTGTGGCTTTATTTTCTATTTAAATCACCGTTTCCGGTTAGAAAAAGACAGGTGGGAATATTTTATCACTCTTTTTTTCCACTGAAAATGCTTCCCTGCTCATCATCCGCGCAGATGGAGGGATGCGAGGAGGAGAGGGACGCACACATGCAAACAGAGGTAAACCGATAGAAAAGACAAAAAACAGCTCAAATGTTTGCCTCTAATGCATTCTTCCTCCCTGTAAACCCCTCTTCTTGTGTCCTACCGGATCCCTTCATGTCTTTCCGGATGATGTTGCAGCCGCTATAATTCGCCGGCCGGCTTCTCCTGGAGGTTATTGTAGACATGAAAGAGCCGGACCCCTCCCTAAATTTGTCGCTCTTCTCGCCATTTAAGCGGAGAAGAGGAATCATACTTTGCATCCATATTAGAGGCAGATTTGAATGGTTTTCATGGAGGGAAGTTAAGATTTTCTGAATTGATTTCTCGTCTTTTTTGGAGAAATGTGCTGACAGTCTTATTCTGGGCTGTGGAAAAGCCTCGCCTCAGGTTTGATCTGATATTTAGCAGAACCGGTTTATTGTCTCCATCACAATAGATTTCCTCTATAAACCAAAACCTTCATTACTCCCCTCAGCTGCCTCTAATCTGCTCTTTTGTGGAGGGTTTTACCCCAAACACCCACTAAGGAGCGAACACAATGGGAATTCAACCCACGAGTCGTTCCAGTGATAGTGCCTTGCTTTACACACTCAATCACACGAGGAATTGAACCCTTGTAGTGTTTGTTAGTGCCTAGCTCCTCCCTTTGACCTCTAAAGACAAAATCAAACCCCTACACCTGCAGCCTCATTCCTTGAGTTAAATTTGGGAGTTGAACCCTCAACCTTCACCATTTTAGTCTTTAGACCTGCACCAAGGGAATAGAGCTAGCGACAAATCGAACCCACAAAGGCGCAATTGTCTTGCTTTAGTCGTACAGTCGCCAGGAATTGAACCCCCAACCCTGGAAGTGTGTGAGTGCCTTGCTCTGCCCATTGACCCACATTAAGAGAAGCTGACCCCTTTGCTCTTCCCATTGCATTACATTGGGAATGGAACCCCTAACCTCTTAATGCTTTCCTCCAGTCAATGTTAGTACCTCGCATCATTGTCCTACAAAGAGGGAATGGAACCAGCGACCCTGGATTGGTATACAAAATTAATTTGACAGTCTTAGTGTCTTACTCTTGCCCCTTAGTCACTGAGAATTAAACCCCCAACCCTAGAAGTATGTGCCTTGTTTTAGCCATATACAGAAACAGACATTGCCCTACACATTGTATTACATTGGGCATTGAACCCCTAACCTCTTAATGCCTTGCTCCAGTCAGTTTTAGTGCCTTGCCTGATCCATGTGGTAAATAAACCCCCAACCTTCAGAGATGTTGTTAGTGCCTTGCTCCTTCCACTGGCCTACAAACCAGGAATGGAACCAGCAACCCTGCCTTGCTTTAGCTAATGTGCTACACAGTGAATGTGACACATGTTAGTATCAGTGCCTTGCTCTAGCCTCTGAGATGCTAGGAATTTAACCCCCACCCGTGGAGGTGTGCTAGTGCCTTGCTCCGCCCGTTGACGTACATTTAAAGAAATGGGCTCTCTTGCTCTACTCTACTTACTCAACATTATAGTACTGATTTAAGCTCTACCCTCATGATGCCTTGCTCTGGTCACATTCAACAACTACAACTCCCATAATCCTCTGCGGCTGAGCTACTGTTGGTATATGAGATATGTGTTTGTGCAAAGCTAAACAAAATCAAACATTTTGAGTTTGGTAGTTCATTCTTTGGGGTCCACTTCCTGGCTTTCAGAGCTCTCGCCTACATTTCATGGTCTTTATTCAGTGAATGGAGCTGGCTCAGGTGTGTCATCACGTGACACCCGACCCACCACGGTCACATGTTATCATGTGATATCAAGAGCCACAGCACCTGATTACAAACCTCCACCTCAGCCTTCACTGAATGAAGACCATGAAAATGGAGTTGAAGGCCTGTAAATGATCTTATGAGCTGAGATTGTTATAGAAAATGTTCAGTTTTATTTAGTTCAAGTGGAAAGTTGTTGCTGTTCTTCACTACAGCAGTATATATTCATTTATCCTTGAATATAGACAGCTGACTACACATTGATGTTGCAGTGTGTTTGTCTGACTGTGCGGTCAGATCTTATAAATACGCGGGGATTCAAACTTGCCTCACAAATAGGGACTCTGAAACCAAAGCGGCCTGGAGGTCCTCCTTCCCAAAAAATTGAGTTTCAGACTTTATTTCCTGCATTCTGATGAACAGCATTTTTGTGTAAAATAATTTTGATTTTACTTTTAATTCTCAGGATAATATAATAATTTGGCCCTCTGGAATAAACTAATATTTAGTTTTCATACATTCATTCATTACATGTTTGCCCCTGCCCAGAGAGTCTGTGCCACCCACTGCCTCTGAGGAGGACGAGGTGAACGTGCATGCCAGGCAAACAACATTTGGAGTAGCTGGGTTGTTGTCCAGGTGGAACTAGAATCATTTAGGACAGGGATCTCCAAATGCCAGCCCTCCATCCCCTCCCCCAGGCCTGCAAAATGATGTCAAAGATATAATATAATCCATCCTGTAAGATTGTTATTACTATTTTTTTTGTTTATTTAGTTCTTTGATATCAATTTAGGGGCTGCAGTAGCTAAGTGTGTAGGGACCTGGCTTGAGAACTGTAGGGTAAAAGTAAATCTTATCTTAAATTTCCCCATTCATATGCATTTAAAATAAAAACACAATTCTATTTTAAAAAATGTATTTTGTTTGGCACAACTTAGTTTAAAGGCAAACGTGTACAAAGAGTTGAGTTGATAAGCAGGTTTCAGGCCTTAACTTGTTGTTTGACTGTGAACAGTGGCCCCAAGTCAGTTTGAGTTTGAGACCCCCGTCATAGGGCGTACACATGGAATACATGGAGCATGGCTGCAGCACAACATGGCAGCCGCAGCCTGTCCACAGCAGAGCGCCTCTATTATAATCAACTGAAGCTGCAAACACGTCCATGTCCCATGTACTTCAGCTGTTATGTTCGCTGTGAATAGGGAGAAACGCGTGAGAATGTAACCCCAGGAAACCGGGAGAAGGTAATGAAATATATCTGCAAGTATGTTTGAACATTTTTATTGTAAAAAGGATGCGTACCCGTACTCACTGAGCAGCACTGGGAATTGAACCGCTCACCCTGGCAGTGCCACTGCCTTGCTGTCTGCCGGTGAACCTGCCCGCCCTCGCTGTGCTCCTCAGGGAAATCTGAGCTGACAGTGTGTGAGACTGCAGGTAGAGCTGGGAGAAAGTGGGCCAAGTGCTTCCTGCTGCTGGAGGAGAGACTGAGAGAGTTAGAGCTGGATGCCGAGCGTCCTCTTTGTCCTTTTTATCTGCCAATATCGGCTTGAGTTTGTCGCAGTTACGCCCTTTCAAAGACTCAAATTAATATTTACATCCCCCCTTTTTCTTTAAATGTCATAATAGGTTTGAAACATCTGTCATGTTTAGTCAGGATCAGACTAGGGTTGTGTGAGGTTTGGTTACATTTTGGCCACTGAGTAGTTAAGTGTGCTTTTAAAGAGATTGAATCAGACCGTGTTCATCTAATCTTAAGAGTCCTTTGATGGATGTATCATCACCCCCAACCTCCTTTAAGTGGATCTGATACATTTACACCTGGTGTTAACATTCAGTCTGTATCTGGATATCTTGTTTGGATAAGGACAAAAACATGTAAATGCCAGGTAAATACATACAGAATGCTGAGGATTGGATCATACAGCGAGACCACATCCTTCAGAAAAAATCCACCTACCAAGTTGAAAAGGTCACCTGACTCTGCCTCCTCCTGCTGCAGTAGCTGGCCAGTCCTCCCTCACAAAAAACTATTGTGTGTGAGGGAAGCAAGCGTCATAATAAGATCTGATCACAGCCCAGAATAAGGTAACAAAAACGTTTTTTAGGATCAGAGGATCAGATGTCAGTATCCAGATCCAGACAACTTAAAGCTGCAGAAGGTAACTTTTATAAAAATAACCTTTTGTCCTATTTGTTGAAATGTTCACTACATGCTGAAAGAAGTGAGGAGACAGATGATCTATGATAAAAATCAGGTTCCTCTGGCTCCTCCTACTCCTACTAATCAACCACTCAGAGCCTCACATATAAAGACACTTTGGGTTGGAGGCCAGGAAAGATAGTTGATTGTTGTTGAGGGTCTGTATTTGATGTCCTGGGAATAAGACTCAACATTCAACTATCTTTCCTGGCTCTGATTGGTTCTTTGCCTGGCATAAATGTTTCACGGAGGAGGTATTAAAGTTTTGGTTCACGTTCGCTGACTTCCTTCCTCGGTAGGGCGTGTCCTGTGTTTACCAGGAAGCTCTAGCAACTAGAGGCAAACAAGGAAACACACCTGAACAAAATGACATTCGAGTTCAAACATTGTTGGAAACATCTGGGATAATGTTAGTACAGAACTCAGTCTAGCGGTTATTGCAGAAATGGTACATATTCTATCTGTAATACCAGGTGTAAGAGAGACCAAAGGAAATGGTGCTTCTTGTAAACTCAAAGTGAGTATCAGTGGTGAATTCAAGGTAGTTCCATGATATGAGTTTACAGTAAACATCAAAAGTTTCACTTAAATGTAAATTCTATTTATAGTAAGTTATATTTATTTGTCTGCATCACTCTGGGATGAACAATATTTGTCCAGGCTGCTAATGAGAACAAACAGCAGTGGTTTCTGCAGTAGTCTCCTTGGTCTAATGTATTTACCAGTGACTGATGACCACCTGAATGCAAACACCTGGTAACTACAGTTTGGTCACTCAGGGATTTTTCCGGGCTTTACAAGGGGACAAAGATTGCCTGAATGCATCATTAAACAGCTGACGGGCCTGCACTGAGGCATACAAAAGACCACAAAGGACACACCAGTTGTGCCCTCCAAACTGAAGCAAAATAATTCAGATTTAAATAAAACATTTAAGAAGCACCTCCTCCAATACTTGAGTCATTTTTTTAACTAGATATCAACAAGTTCATGTTGAACACAACTTGATTTCCAAGGGTGATCAACATTTCTCTGGACACATTTGGATAGAGAAACTAAACGTGTGATGTATCGTAGTTAGCGTAATTAAACATGAGTGCTGTCGGAAGTATGGCAAACACGTCTTTCTTATCAACAACAGCTTTAAAAGCAGTTGTTTGTTCTTCATTTATAGAAAATTTACCATCCAGTTTCTTAAATTCTGACATGATAGCAGGTTCAACAGAATCAGTTCCACATCAGCAGCAGCCATTTTGGTTGTTTAGGAAAATGCCTCACTGGCCAATGAGGTAGCGCTCCTCTGTGCAGTCATCATATTCAACCTGCCACATATTAGATGAACGGTGTTAGTGGCCTGACCAGATTCAGCACTGATGGACACCTCTCTGAATTGGAGAGGGGTGGGAAGACACATCTGCCAGAGGAAATAAAAGGTGAGCTCGCAGATTTATCTGGTTCCCTGGTTACTGGCCTGATGGCAGAGGTACATGATTGATCTCAATCTGATGAACCTTCAGGGGTAAAAGCATCTTGTTACCAATTGGACTGTGGCCAATCTGCATCATGCAGATAGAGGACAATGACTAAGTTAGTTTAAGGTAAACATGGAGATAATTAGTATATATAGTTGGCAATGACTGATTTTATGTTCTTTCTTCTGGAGGTTGCTTGAATCTAAAGGGACTTTCATTGTTTACTGTTACTTTTGCTACTCAGGAGGTCACTGAATGCTTTACGACTTCCAATTACCATTTTAAATGAAGCGTGTGCAGAGCACAGCAGCGTTGCAGATACGCCACTATTGACTGCGGTCACTCAGAAGGCCAACTCTGTCCAGTAAAGGAAAGAGGCAGTAACTTCACTTCTGATCAATAATGAGATGATGTCATTCCCTTGTTAACCTGAGATAAGACTGGAGGGGAAAAGAGGATAAAAAAAACTTCTCACTGGATTGAAAATTCAGAATTACTTGGTTCAGCAGGAAACTCTAATAACTGTTTATGTTCCCTCTCTGAGACTGAGTTCAGGAATATATTTTCGAGGGAAGGTCGGGGATTAACAGAAAATGTTAACAGCTTTTCTACTCACACAAAAAAAAAGACGTTTTGTGCTCTTTCACCTTTAAAAATATTGAACTCTGCTGTTGTTTTCAGTGCAGGTGTATGTTTGCTTTGCCTATCAGTTTTAGTGTGTAACATTTAGGAGGATTTATTGGCAAAAAGTGGAATATAGTATTCCGAGGTATGAAGGTATATATATCATGTATAATCACCTGAAAATAAGAAATACTACAATGCCCATGAGCTTTACACACTTGTGATATGTAGAGTTTCTGCAAATCCAGAAAGCTTTATATTCATAATGAATAATTTGCCCTGTCAGTCATTGTTGCCGTCGATTGATGTTAGACCTTTGAGCAAGCTACCAACAGTTTGCTTTAGGCTTTGGATAGAATAACAGTATCGCTGTTGCATATTCCTTATGGACTTCTTTTGACCTTTCTTCAAAGTGTCTCAGGAGTTTGTAACATACTGCATTGTTTGAATGTAGGAACTTGACTCTGACACACTGGGCATACTGTCGGCCATCAGCCAATGTTAGGCTGTCGCTGGGCGTCTGTAGGCCTAGTTTTTCCGTTGTCTTCTTCATCTCAACTGATCACTCTAATACACGGTTACAGCTGTTGGTATGTTGAGTTATTACCTCTCGCGCAGGTACAGATTTTACCTGCTAGTTAGCCGTTCGCTGTAGTCGGTGTGTTGTGTTTTGGTGTCACTTTTTGGCCAAGACACTGGCGACATTTGGCGATGCAACAGTCGGCTGTGATTGGTGTATGTAGTGAAAGGGGAAGTGCTTTGGATCTGTCAGTTGGGAACAAAATGTTTAATTTAGAATTAATCTAACATCAACCCGAAGTCTGAAAGTTATGATTTAAACTGGTTTTAGTGGTTTTAACAAAATTTTGTGCATACTTCAGAACACTGTGCGTGATTTTACTGTTCATAGTTTGATGCAAATTGTGTGGTTTTCTACAAAGAAAGAGTCAAAAAGAAACAATTTGCCCTTGAGTGTTGACGCAGGGTTGCACTTGCTAACCCCAGTGACGTCTGCAGCTGCTGCCGCTGTCACCCAAGTTTCATCCCTCCAACATCCAAACCAGGCTTCTCCACAGCTGCTCATCCTAAACATAGCACAACAAGTACTTACATCAGATCCCGTGAATGTGAAAATTACGGCCTTTTTGACCTTTGTAGAGCAGCCTTCAAGTCAGCAGTAGCAGAAAGAATCATTCTGTTATAGGAAACGATGGGCTGGTGGTGATAAACTAAAGGCCAGGCAACATTTTGAGATAATGGAGGAGGCAAAATTAATGTTTATATGGAGAAAATGGTGAGCAGGAAATCTTCTACTGCGCTTTTCTAGGGTCTTGAGACTGGAGTGGTTTTTTTTTCATTAAAAAATGCTTTAACAAAGGCTTTGATGAGTCTTGTTGTCTGTGCCTTGTTTTGTTGACTGTGTGGTGTTTTGTTACTGGATGTATGTGCTAGTTGTGGACTGTATGGTATCTACTATAACGGTGAAATGTAAGAAAATACATTTACTGAAGTTCTGCACTTAAGTACAATTTTGTGGTACTAGTTTACTTGGGTATTTCCATTTTGTGCTACTTTATAGTCCTGCTCCACTGCACAGCTGTAGTTACTTTACAGGCAAGGGGGCCACTGGCAACCCCCCCGAAATGTATTCCCTTCCTCTTCCACTCTTTCAGATGTAGTGGTTAGCTCTGTTTTAAAGATAGTGTACTAGCATGTCAGCAAATTTTGGCGATGGAAAAGCTGGCATGGCCATTTTCAAAGGGATCCCTTGACTTCTGACCTCAAGATATCGGAATGAAAATGGTTGGCAATGACTGGAAAGATGGACACATACTTGATGCCACCCCTGCGTGAGTCAGTGCCCTACTCCAACTTGCATAGAGTGGTAGGGTGAGGCTAGGGGATTCCAGTCAGCAATTATACCACTAGATGTTAATATTTCTCTATTTTTACCTGTGTAAGAGCTTTTACTTGTAATGTTGGTACTACTTTTACTAAAAAGTAAAAGTAAAAGTTCTCAGTGCTGGCACCAGAAAACCTCAAGTCAAACAGCCACTGTCACTGTCTCTCATCATCAAGCATTTGCCTTCAGCCTCTGGAGAAAGGCCTCAAAAACATGTAACATCAGTATTTGTTGCTACAATAATGTAACACGATTAATTTGAGAATTAAAAAATTAAGTAAGTCATTTGAGGGCGCTATTTATTAATTAACTAATTAATTCATGTTTTTTTTATTTGAGGAAAGGGAGCACAATCTCTATTTGTTAGCAGAAACTAGTAAATATTTTTTTCCATGGTAAATAGTCATCTGTTGGTTTGGAATTGAGTAATACATTGAGGTACCATTTTGTCTTTTTACATTGTGCTTAAACTGGTTTGGGGTGAAGTTGTATTAGCTCAGTGTGTAGCCCGTGGTTGTGTCTGACTCACAGTGTGTGTGTAACTGTACTCCGTTGGTATATCAGTGACCTGTATATTCAGCCTGTCGTGGAGCATGATCTAATGTGTTGACTCGCTGTCTGCTCCTGCAGTGCAACAGACTGACGGAGGAGAGGGACGAGGCCGAGAGACAACTCAAACACATCAAGAGAGGTGAGTCCAGCTTCCTGCAACCTCCTCACACTCTTCCATCGTCACATGTTCATGACAATTCGCTATTAGCTTAACAAGTGCGCTGTCTTAACAAGCACAACTGTGGTGGAAATATCGCTTTTCTACTTTAAACGTTACTTCAAACGTTTTTTTTTTTTACAGATCTGCATGAAATAGTAGGGTAAAAACACACGTGATACAAATGATACTAATATAGAGTTAAGGTGCTGCTAATTGTTCATGTTGGTTAACTGGAAAAGAGGTGAAAAATAATTAGTGTATCCAACCTGTGTATCGGATCCGTGGCTACCGACCTGCAGACAGCACAGAAAACATTAAGTTGGAACACGTTGATATCACAAAAAAGATGTCAGTCTATCACAGTCTACAATCCTCTTAGTCAGCCAAACCTAGAAGAAAAAGCCAATGGTAAAATTATGATGCTGTCCATTGTAACCATCCTTCACGTCTACAAAAACGTGTAAACAAACTGTTTCAACTTTGACCTACAGTAGGCCTAGTTCCTGTAGTTCATGGGCGATTACTACCGACATTTTAGGTGTGCTTGCTTTACCTCCAAATAAAGTGGTTTAGATGATCAAGACAACCTTTCTGATCATGATCACATTTTTGACCCATCACTCTTCCTTTTAGTAATGTGTAACTTGTTTCCACACCTTAGCTGTAGCATTTTTGGTTATTTCACCACTTGAATCATCCTTTTAAAAGGCTAATCATCTTGAAATGTACCCATAAACACATACAGATATCAGGTACCACAGACCAGACTGACACATCATCCCGCCTACAGTCAGACAGCTGACACCTTCACTTCCTCCCCCTCACCCTTCGCACCTTTTCCCCTCACCTCTGTCGCCATGACATCACCGACACCTTGTCCTCTGAATGGGTGTGTTTAAGAGAGAAGGGGAGTCCCCGTTTCTATGACAACTGTCGTGTTAGTTAGCCAACAGTATTTGAGCTCTTGTGTTTTGGGGAGTTTAACCTCTGATTCTACTGAGTGAGGATCTCAACCTCAATCATTAACTTTCGCTGCAGCTCATGGCGCCTGTCATGACGATTCACGGTAAGAGAAAGCATAGGTTGTACAGCTTTTATGTGTCAGCTATGTAGAGTCTCATCATCCAGCTAATGTGAGACAGGTTTCAGTTTCAGTTTTGTTTCAATAAAAGAAACTACAGAGTATAGACTTGTAGGATAAATTAGCTGCTGCTAAATATCAGTTAACCCTCTTTCTGACTGACAGGAACTCAGACCTTGAAGGCTTGTAGAAGAACAGACTCTGAACATTCAGCATGTTTCTCTGTAGAAAAGTAAAACTCACTTTGGAAATCGTGTGACTTACTCATATAGCATCGTAATAAAAATGGTAGAACCGAATTTCTTTGCTTGTGAGCCAGTGTTAAAAGCATACGTGTAAAAAAAGGTAAATTCAGAAGTCCTAAATAGTGATTGAACTTTGCCCAAGATAATTGTCAAGGCAAAGAGGTTGGTAATGCCAGTGATGAGTTCAGTCACCTGTCTGTCTGTTGAATGAGGTCTTATTGTTCAAAAGGTAACAAGAGAACCAGGCAGTCTCCACCTGGAGTTCACCTCGGTGTGAGATTTCAGTCCTCTCATCAGTCCTGAACTGTTCATTAAGAAAGAGAGGGGGGATTTTGCCTTCTTCTGGTGTGTTCAACAGACTCTTCTCAAGGACGAACTTTACATGGACAACCACAATTACAAATGACAAAGATTATTATACAGTAACTCCTCCACAAACCAGAACCAGCCCTTTATAGAAAATGTTTCTGTTTGTGTAGGTCATTCATTGGAATAATTTACCACTATTTTACTAAAAGCCTCAAATTAGATATTTCTAATAAGTCATTGATTACTTAAATAAACACTATCCTAACTGATTTTGGGTTTACATAGTTTATTATGACAATCCAATTGGGATTCTGGTCAGTCAGTCAATCCACCATTTTAGTTCTCAAAAACAGCTATTGGATATATTATCATTATATTTGGTACACCCATTCATAGTCCTCAGACGATGAATCCTAATCTCTAAAATATCTTTTATGGATTAGCACAGTTTTTGATACAGACATTCGTGGTCCCCAGAGGATGTTTCCTTATGACTTTGGTGTTCCTCTGACTTTTTTTCTAGCGCCACCATGCTATTCTGGCATTTGTGTGATGATGTTGGTTTCACTGCTGGTTGTGTTGCCTGGCCCAAGACAGTTACACAATAAGAAAGACTGCCTTTGTCAAAAGCTTCATCTTGATGGTCTTGGACACGTGCTTCAAATTTTAACTGGGAATCTAAGACAACATCTAGATATTTTAACTCATGTTCTGTTTATAAAGGCAAATATACAATATGCAGTTAGGTTTGGCTAAGGGCCGGTTCTGTCAGCAATGTTCAGTAGGGGCCAAGGCTGATTTAGAAATGCAGTTAGGTAGGTTTTTTTTCTGCTTTTACAAGCTGACAAAGTCGTATCTGGATAATCAGATATGCCTCTGACCAGCTCGGCCTCTTATGGGCTTCTGGGATGCACATAATGATTTTTGGTATTTTTGTGCTTTTAAAAGTAAAATAAAAGATGAAAAGCTGTCAGATAAACGGATAGTAAGTCCTGTAGTTGGACTCAAATCCAAAATTTGTTGTCAGAAACATGTCAAAAACTTGTATACAACAGCAAAACCGGACCTAAAATCTCCAGAGTCAGCAGAAACAGTGATCCTCCTTTTCATTGCGGGTTCCGTCACTTCATACGTTCAGTCTTTCATTCATTCACTCATTTATTCATTCACTGCCTCTCCCTAGAGGAGACAGCAGTCGCTCTTGTCATGTTATTCCCATGAATTATTGAAACCTCCTGTCATGAATTATTCAGCAGCAGAAAATGGGGGAAGGATGAGTGTGTGTGTGTGGGAGGGGTTACCACTCCTGCCTGACTCTTTATCCATTGTGGTCCTTCAAAAGGCCTTTCTACCTGCTACTCCATATTTGATGACCACATTTGAATGAATTTAATAAAGGAGACTTTGCTCATGGGCAAGTACTTGATTTCGGCTTCGTTTGAATCTCAAAGGCCGACTGAGAGAGTTCTGCACAGATTGACTGACAATAAAACAGAGAAAACATGACCTGACCCAAGACTCGCTGTTAGATTATACAGTCGCCTCGATGATGGACGAGCATTTAGTCCGTTATGCATCTCAGTTGCCAAAAGATCTTATGGATGGTTGCCTTTTTTCGCTTCTGAGTGAAATAACTAGACGAGCATTGGATGGTTTTCTATGACATTTGGCACAGGTATTCTTAATCCCCAGATTACGAATCCTGATGGTGTTATTATTTCCTCATTTTTTATCAAACCACGGACATCTTACATTTTCTTCAACATTTCAGAGCCCTCAAAAAGTCCTCAACCACAATAACTCCTCATACCTAAGTAATAAAACAGATCAATTGTCAATACCTTCCAAAAATAACACAAGTGTTTTCTGATCTGCCACCTTTATAATTATGGATATTTATCTAGAAGCCTCAGCTATACTACAAGATAGCCTGAAGTGTTTGGTGAATAAAGCAGTAGTGTGCCATCATGCTAACATTAAATCTTTTTGAAACAGAATGTAAGTCCGTTTGCCCTGATCATGGACCATGGAATAATAAAGTTGCTTGTGCGCTCATACATTATCAATGCACAAGTACAATGAAAGGCATACAAGTGATAGCATATTTGATGCATTAGTTGCAATATAGCCAGAGACATGGTAAATACTTAAGCCCTTTTTTAGCCACTGCAAGAACATTTAGTTCCTGACCCGTTGTCACTACACCCCCAGGAAACACTGTGATGGAGTTTGAAGTACTTAAAATGTTGGTGAAAATGGCAGAACCCACCGGCAGTGCAAGATGGACGTGAAAGCACTATGCGAGCCCGCACAATGCTGGTGATGAGACCCCCCATCACTGTACTGCACCGAACAAAGATGGTTGACAACAGTCGCTGCGCTGCAACAGAAAAGACCTTTTTCATGGCAGATATTTTGACTTGTCACAGCAGGAAAATCACGATGGCTCACAAGGGTCCCAGTAAGTCATGATAGTGTTCCAGCATGCAAAAAAACAGCCCTGAACCTAGTTCAGCTGATTAATGCAGTCATTGTGCTTTTCCTGCAATGAAAAGCCAAAATATCAGAAAATAAATACAACCTTTCCCAGCATTACTCACAGCTACGGGAAAGCAGCAGTTTTATCACATCTTCTACCCAGAACGTTATATTCCAGCTACAGTACCTTGACTTCCTCTTGTGTGTTCCCCTGAGAATATTACTTAGACAACCACCACTTTAAATATGGATCACTAGTTTATCAACAGATATAGTAGCAGCAGCAACAATAAATGTCTACTAAAAGACAGTGAAGTTTAAATACAGATACAGACATAAATTCCAGAGCAACAGGGACTGATGTGCTTTTTCAGGAAAGTTGGAGATGAGAGAGATCAGAGGCTTTCTTTGTCTTTAGCAGAACTAGACGTATGTCAGTCAGTGCCTGGGACAAACTCAGGTATCTTTGGTTCTTGAACTTTGTAGTTCCTCTGTTTTAAAGTATGAAACTACTTCTAGTACTTCTCCACAGCCACGGCTGCATGATCCTGAGTCTTTCAGCTGTTCGGAAGCAGGCGGAGCTGATGTCTCACAGTCTGTAATTTATGCAACAGAACAAGTCGTTTGCAAAGGAGCTGAGTGTCAAACGTGCCTCACAGGATGGGATTTAAATAGCAGCCAAAATCTCTCCGAGTTTCAAAATCAGATGCAGAGAGAGAAACGAGGAAGGCTGAGTTATTTTCCTACATCCATGATAAGAAATTGGAAAATATATTTAAAAAGAAAGAATAAACCTTTACAGAAAGTTTAGGAGATGACAAAACATAAATACAGCAGAAAAGACAAAAGGCCAAAAATTGTGTATATTGCTGCATGTTATAAAAAGGGTTGCTACTTTAAGTGAACATGTAACTGGAAGCTAACTGTGCTCCGCTTTACTCGGCTTTACAGAAGTGATCGCCTGCAGCGCTGTTAGCTTAAGCAGCCTAGTTATTCAGTCTACTTACTTAGATAAAAGCCTTTGGCTGCACTTTCCCTGCATTCAAGTGCTTTCGGAAACACTGTAATTACATGCTGAGAGCACACGAAGGACAAACAAACTGGTGACATATGAGCAGGGGAGTCTCTTTGACCCTGACAATCGTAATGAAGAGATGATGCAGCTTTTTTTTGGGGTGGGGGGG